TAATTTTATTAGATATTGGGTGAGAAATTAAAAGATACACGAAGTCTATTTTTTATAGTCTTTAAATATCGTGTGTCAATCTAAAAATTTTTTATTATAAAAAATCTTGATTAAGTGATAATCACTATGTGGTCTGCACTATGTTTGTAATTAGACCGATATAGAACACCCCAATATAATATGTACTTCGTGATTTGATTGGTCAAAATTGGGGTACTCATGTAGATCATCTGCTGTGTCGATAAGGAGATAAATCACGTGTTGCTGTGTCCCCTTTTTTAACATCTCGATAGTCATGTGATGGTCGTAAGATCATGTGACTGCGACCTCAATTGTCGGTTACGTTAGGATTTTTCATATGAAATACCCCCCAATGTCAAACATATATCTTATAAAAGATTTTATCATAAAAGCAAAATTTTTTTTAAAAAAAATATAAGATTTAGAGTTCAGAGTAATTTTATTCTTTTACAACTATTTAACAAAGTTTCATTTGCAAAAGTGTTTATTTATACATTTATAACGAAAATATAACTAATCTTCTCTATTAGCTAATCAGAAAATTGTATAGATTATACGTAACAATCATATTAAAAAAAATAGGACATTTAATGGCTTAATGTTGTTAATTAAAATTACTTGAGCTATAGCATTATAAGTTTCATTGGAATACTCTCGTACAATTGAGATGGAATTGCAACACACGCCTGTTGAGTTGCCTTTACTTGAGCTATAGCGTTATAATTTTCATTGGAATACTCTCGTACAATTGATACCTGCTAAGATGATATTGCAACACACGCCTGTTGAGTCGCCTTTAGAAAGGCAGAAGTTACTCAAGCATGCTGCATCGCAAAGACAAGCGTCTCCTTGTACTCGTGTATCTGTTTGTTGACATTTGTCTCCATCTTTATCGGCACGACGACAAATATTAGTATCACATTGAGCATCAGAAACACAAGAGCTTCCTAGTTGCCCATCGCCTTGATGTTCTATCTTGACGCAGACTGCACCAGCTAAGACAATAAAAATCATCCCAAAAAGCATGATTGAGAAAAGCTTTTTTGTTAGGAGGTTAAACATCTTTTTTTCAAGCAACTACGGTGATAAAGTGATTTTGTTTTACGTATTTGTTTACGGTAATAAAGTGTTTTTGTTTTACGTATTTGTTTTACGTATTTGTTTACAGTGATGGAGTTTTTGTTTTGCGTATTTGTTTGTGAGATTATTACAATTGACATATTTTACTGCATCGCTTTTATATTTTTCAAATCGCAAAAT